AAGAAAGGAAGAAAGAAAGGAAGAAAGAAAGGAAGAAAGAAAGGAAGAAAGAAAGAAAAAGAAAAACAGACAATATTTATAGACTTGAGAAGTGATACCAAGGGAACTACTAAAGCTACTGGAACCTGCATTATCTAGATAAAGCCTGTCTCTCCAACTACCCAGATTTCTATAGTGATCTTTGTTCCAGGGACTAAAAACAGTTCCTGACACCTAAGAAGCAATTCAAAAACTAAATACTGGATGAAATAATTCATTTGATCCAATCCATTCCTTAGAAACAATCTGAATTCCAAAGTCAAGTTATTTGCCAAACTCACACAACTAAATATGTCAGAGTTAGAGAAGAAATGAAGTTTTCTTAAAATGTATCTTTTTATTAAAATACTTTTATGCAATATAGTTTGATGATGTTTTTTCTTCCTCCAACTCCTCCCAGATCTTCTCCAGATCCCTACCCACCCAACTTCATGTTCTCTCTCTCTCTCTCTCTCTCTCTCTCTCTCTCTCTCTCTCTCTCTCTCTCTCTCTCCATATGGTGTGAACTTCAATGGGAGGGGCTTTTGAAGACATCCCCGTTAGGACTGACTGCTGTCAAGTCACTCACTCTCTGCACATGGTCCAGTTGTGGGTCTCTGTGTTAACTCCCATCTACTGGAAGAGAAAGTTTCTCTGGTGAAGACTGAGTGAGGCGCTGATCTATGGGTAATAACAGTATGTCATTCAGAGTCAGAGAGCTGCAAAATAAAAGTAGGTCTATAAGCTATCCAGTCGGGTTCTTGGCCACTTAAGTCTTGTCAGGAATGAGTCCCGTCTCATTGGCTGGACCTTAAATCCAATCAAAAAGTGGTTGGTTGCTCCCATGACATTTGTGCCACTCTTGTTTTGTTTTGTTGTTTGGTTTGGTTTGGTTCTTTGAGACAGGGTTTCTCTGTGTAGCTTTGCACATTTCCTGGATCTTGCTCTATAGACCAGGCTGGCCTTGAACTCACAAAGATCAGCCTGCCTCTGACTCCCGAGTGCTCTCATTAAAGGCATGCACCGCCAGCACCTGTCTTGTGCCACTCTTGTACCAGTATATCTTGTGGGCAGTTCACTGTCATAGGTCCCAGGGTTTATAGTTGGGTAATATTGATGATTACCTTTTTCCTTACTCTACAGAGCAAGTTCCAGCACCATGAATGCTATTCGGGAAGGGTGAAGCTTCCAGGGGGGAACCAGCTCAACTTCTGTGTGTTTGATGAGGTAAATGCTGTCTTCAGCAATAGGGTCTAACCATCAAGCTGTGAAGAACAACCAATAGCCTTGGCAAATGCTATTTGGGGTGACAGGTAGAGACATATCCCTGTGGCCAATGACTCAATAAGCTGTAACCCATCCCTGGACCTGGGAGTTTTACTTGGTGGCAGAAGATATCTAGTTGGAGTATTATCTCTCCTATTAACTGGTGACTCTATATAAATTTCTTTCATATATGTATGTATATATTTTGGAAGGTTCTACAGTAGTAGGTTCCCATGGGTTTTTCAAATGCTTTCAGCATTCCCCTACTTCCTCTTCACTCTGCTCTTTCCCCTTCCCCATTTAGCACTCATATTCTGGTTTCTCCTTTATCTCTCGTGATAACACCATATTCTATTTTGCTTTCCTTGGAATATTCTCTCTTCCTTCTGGCTCCATAATAAGTATATGTCTCTGTGATTATTCAGATTGTAGCATACATATTGATAGCTTGAAAACTAACATCCACACATGAGAGAAAACACACAATAGGAAACATTTGTTTTTGTGTATATGAGTCTCCTTGGGTTTTTTTTAAATTTATTTGTGTGTGTGTGTGTGTGTGTGTGTGTGTGTTACCTCACTCAGGGTGATTGCTTCTAGTTCCATCTATTTAGCTGGACACTTCCTAATTTCACATCTAGCAGCAGAATAATGTTCTATTTTATAAATGTGCCACATTTTTATTATCTGTTCATCAGTTGATGGACACCTAGACTGTTTCCAGTTTCTATCCATTATGAATAGAGCAGCAATGTACATGGATGATGTCGTAGCAGGATGTAGGGTACTTTGGGTATGTTCCTGGGAGTATAGCTGGATCTTGAGGCAGATCTTCCTAAGAAACTGCCACACTGATTTCCATAGTGGCTGAGACAGTTTGGACTCCCACAAGCAATGGGTTAGTGTTCCCCTTTACCCACATCTTTGCCAGCATGTTCTGTCATTTGTCTGATTGATCTTGGCCCTGTTGTCTGTGTTAAGATGAAATCTCAAAGTAGTTTTAATTTGCATGTCCCTCATGGCTAAGGAAGTTGAACATTTCTGTAAGAGTTCCCCAACTATTTCCTTTTCTTTAGAAAAGAGTTTTCTGATCAATCAACCAAGCAGAAACAAGTCTCATAAATTCCCATCTCTCTACCAAATAAAGACCAAGTCGTGATCTGATTACTGAATGATCTTTCCAGGACGATTTGAGGGTCCTCGGTAGTCATTTTCCAATGATTCATTGATACACGGTGTTTTCTTGAGTTCAGTAGCCTTTCAGAGCCCACATAATATTTTTCAAAGACCTGTCTTGGGATCACTTAAAGGACAAATAAATGTTCAGTTTAGCTCTCTCTGCTAACAATATCTATGCAGGTAGACGTTTCTTTAGATTGTACTTTAACAATAACAAATTTACCACCATGTTAGTGATCTACCCATTTACTCTTCAGAGGCAAATTAACTTTTCACACTACTCTAAGCATATCTATACTGGCGAGTCCATCTTAAACCACCTTTCTAGTCACTTTATTGCAAATATAGCTTGCAAAAAAGAACTAAAATTAATCTTTAATCTCGTTCAGGAAGAGACAAGAGGCACTGTGTGCCAAGTGTGCAGGTGAAGCCCTCGGGCCAGTCGCGGGGGTCTCTAGCCAGATGGGGGCGGGGCTGGCGGGGTGGTGGGCGGTTCCCGCGGCGG